ATCCGTGCTCCCAGACTACTCAGCTTTTTACCAGAAGATATAAAAACTGCTGGAAACAAGTGAAGTCTTAAAGAGGAAACTGGCAGGTGTCTTTGCCAGGTGCCAGATTAACCAGGCTGTGTTGGATGTGTGGGCCAGCGGGCCGCCAGCAGCAACAGCCTGGTTAACTAGGTAAGCACCAGACAAGCCTTCCCATGGTCGGCTTCTGGTAGTAGAAAAACTCTTAGAACTCATCAAAGGTATATCAAAAGTGAACGAAACTCTTCCTTGTAAATGTTTTACTATTAGCTTGGACCTGCCTAGCATGGGCCAGTAGGCCTGCTGCAGTGCTACTTCTTTCTTATGTTGTTATGTCTTCAGATTATGGTGGCGTCTATTGGTAGTCTTGATAATAGATGGCGTTGTCTTGATGCTAATTATTGGTAGTGATAGTTGACTGTAGTTGTTATTGGTGGTTGTCCCCTCAAGGGAGGTTCCTTGACGCTAGTGAGGGGCTCTTGATCTACGGAATTGGATCTGTGCTCCGGTTCCCTGAATTGAGCCTGAATACCTTCCATTCCCCCCCACATGCGTTGTATAATCCTACGGGTTTAGCGCTTCCCTGTGATTATAATAATATTGGTTGTTGTTGTTGTATAGTTATGAACTAGAAGTCGTCAAGATAAACCATACCACGGGCGGGATTTGAACCCGCGGTCAGAGAGTCTCTAAACTCCAGACCGTGGCGTTAGCCACTGGACCAGCTAGCCACAATAAGATTCTTCCAACTAGGTATATTTCTACACCATAGGAAGGTTAGCACAGGCACCTCTGTGACCACAAATGCAAGTTTTTGCAGACGAATCTCCAGCTAGCGTGGCCGTGACGAACTCTAGCTCAAGTCCCCTCAAAGCCATTAACATGACTCACGAAATCGTAATGACACGTGGTATGGTTTGTTTGCAATCGTGTCATTACGATTTCGTGAGTCAAGTCGTAAAGATATTCTCTGTAAATTCAGAAGAGCCCTTAGTGGTTCTTTTCTGTTTTCCTGCCCCGGTGTTTCCATGTTTTACACACCTGTTGACACCTTGACAGGTGTTTACATGCTTGTGACCCTCCCAGTCCCATGTTATCCCGTGTTATCTAACATTCATATCTCAGCTACTCCTCCCTCCCACCACAACACTGCTTGCTTCTCAGTTTTTTCGCTTCATTCTCCCGCGAATTCTTAAAATAACCCTATACGTACTTTTTTGTGCAAAATCATAATAAGTTTAATAAATTTCAGGTCTGATTTTTTATTATTGAAAATAATATTTCAGTTTTATTGTGGCTTGTTACATAACGTAAAGAAGGAACACTGCAGCAGGCCTACTGGCCCATGCGAGGCAGGTCCAAGCCTCCTACCGGCTTAAGCCAATGACCCAACCTAGTGGCAATATGAACACAAATGCAGTATGATGTGATCCTTTATTGACTACGTTTCGCCCACACAGTGGGCTTTTTCAAGTCACAAACAGAACTACCTGGGGTGGAAGGAACGCGAGTATTTATAGTCCGGCTGAGGTCAGGTGAAGAATGCTGCATCTGATGATGTACCGAGTTGGGTTGTAGAGTCTAAAAACTTGGGTAGCTCGGAAAGGAGACTGGACAAGTTTGTGAGCAGACCTTAAGAACATAAGAACATAAGAAAGGAGGAACACTGCAGCAGGCCTGTTGGCCCATACTAGGCAGGTCCTTTACAATTCATCCCACTAACAAACATTTGACCAACCCAATTTTCAATGCTACCCAAGAAATAAGCTCTGATGTGCAAGTCCCACTCAAATCCAACCCCTCCCACTCATGTACTTATCCAACCTAAATTTGAAACTACCCAAGGTCCTAGCCTCAATAACCCAACTAGGTAGACTGTTCCACTCATCAACTACCCTATTTCCAAACCAATACTTTCCTATGTCCTTTCTAAATCTAAACTTATCTAATTTAAATCCATTAAATCCTTCTACAGTGTTCCTATGTGGGATAGCGATGAAGAAGTTTCTTGGCAAGTGGTTCCGCTATGTTATAGAAGCCACTATTCTGGTTGAAGTTGTCGGATATAGAAATAAGTGATGATTCCAGGATTCTTCGGTATTGAGTGTTGTCTTCTGTGGCGATAAGTCTTGAGTTTCTGTAGTTTATCAAGTGGTTGTGTGAATTACGGTGTTGTACGCAGGCATTCCTTGTGTCGTCAGACCTGCTTGCGTATTGGTATCTACCTCCACAACCACGACCATCAAGGACATCACCAGTAGTAGGCAGGACAAGCCTCCATCCTCTGCAGGGGTATACATAATCCCTTGTAATGACTGCAACAAGTTATACGTGGGCGAAACATCAAGGGACCTCCAAACACGTATTTCAGAACACCAATACGCAAGCAGGTCTGACGACACAAGGAATGCCTGCGTACAACACCGTAATTCACACAACCACTTGATAAACTACAGAAACTCAAGACTTATCGCCACAGAAGACAACACTCAATACCGAAGAATCCTGGAATCATCACTTATTTCTATATCCGACAACTTCAACCAGAATAGTGGCTTCTATAACATAGCGGAACCACTTGCCAAGAAACTTCTTCATCGCTATCCCACATAGGAACACTGTAGAAGGTCTGCTCACAAACTTGTCCAGTCTCCTTTCCGAGCTACCCAAGTTTTTAGACTCTACAACCCAACTCGGTACATCATCAGATGCAGCATTCTTCACCTGACCTCAGCCGGACTATAAATACTCGCGTTCCTTCCACCCCAGGTAGTTCTGTTTGTGACTTGAAAAAGCCCACTGTGTGGGCGAAACGTAGTCAATAAAGGATCACATCATACTGCATTTGTGTTTATATTGCCATTGTGTCGGTATTTTATACCATTTATTTCCACCCAACCTAGTCAGGTCAGGTCAGGTCACATTCACCTAAGGAAGGAGCACGGCATCTGACCTAGTAGCACAAGCTAATCAGGTCCAGCTCACACCCACTCAATTATTTATCTAACTTATTTTTTAAAACTACACAACGTTTTAGCCTCTATAACTGTACTGGGGAGTTTATTCTACTCATCGACAACTCTATTGCCAAACCAGTGCTTCCCTATATCCTTCCTGAATCTGAATTTTTCCAGCTTAAAGCCATTGCAAACAAATTTCAATCGGATTTGGGAAGAATAATCTCAATGGGAAGGAGGACACTGTTTCCTTTCTCCCAGTTGTTTAATGCTACAGTATAGTGTGTGTTAGACTCAGCCTCTAAAATTTTAATTGAATATGTTGTTAGGTACAACTAAATTATTAACTTTATCACTGAAACTAGAGGCAAGATGTGTACTTTCTTTGTACTTTCTGTGCCTAGCGTGTACACAGTCGTCAGTACTTCGAATAAATATTTTTTTCCACGTAAGAAACCTTTGCAGCAAAGCATCATCATTATTCTTACATAAATAACAACGTTTCGGCCCGACTTGGACCGAAACGTCGTCGTAAGTTCCTCTCTATGTGCAGGTTATTTGTGTATCGTTCCAGTCACGGTATTGTGCCTTTTTTTATCGTTCTTATTAATAATAAATTTGACATACATGGTTGTACAAAGGAATAAGACATTTGAGTGTACATGGCAAAATCCCCTTGAAATTAAGACACATGTGCAACATCTGGGTATCTTTATTGTAGACGTTTCGCCATCCAGATGTTGCACATGTGTCTTAATTTCATCTTGTCGGTATCATATACCATTCTTGCACAAAATCCCCTTGTATGCAGAGCATTTCTTATGTTTGTAGATGAATGGTTCAGAGAACCGACATGTTGATAAATTAGACACATGTGCAACTCTTGGGTATCTTTATTGAAGAAACGTTTCGCCACACAGTGGCTTCATCAGTCCATATATAGGAGAAACTTGAAGAACAGGAGGAGAATGAGGTAATCAGTCCCTCAACCTTGAGTCGATGTGTTCAGTCCATCAACCAAGATTGATGGACTGACCACATCTCTCAGTAGTAGTAACCAGTTACCAGTAACCAGTGTACCAGTAGTTGACTCACTACCAACCGTCTCTGCCTGAGTCACTGTCTGTATCATATTGTGCTGACCACAGCAGTATTCAAAGACCCCCTCACATATGGGTACTGTGGGCGGCCAGTCAGTGTTACGAGTGTGAGCAGGGAGACAAGGTTACGGCTGTCGGGCGCTCCCCACATTATCTGTAATTATACATACTACCAGCCTACGTGAGTATTACTTGACCCTATCCACGTATCGAACTCCCACATGATAAATGGTGGCACCGGTGTGGAGCGTGGATAAGTTTTTACGGGTAATTCAAGACGTTAGAAGACTGTGAGTAGCCGGCAGGGTCAAAGGTGAACCGTCTCACCCACCAGCTACTCCCCTCACAACCTCCAGCCTGCAAGCCTGTTGCAGAAGTTTTTCAAGCTTCCCGGCTTAGTTCGTGTGCTAATTGCTTCAATCTCCGAGGGGTTGACCCGGATTTTGCAATTAAGCCAGTAGTAAGCCAGACTGTGGAAGTGAACGCCAGTCAGCCTATCATCCAGCCTGTCTCCTGTCATCCACCTGCTCCTCCGTGCTGTGTGCATCGTTACACGTCTTCCAGTCAGTCATACGAGAGAGAGCAGAGAGATACCGCTGTAAGGGCGCTCCACACATTATCTGTAATTATACGTACTACCAGCCTACTTGAGTATTACTTTACCCAATCCACGTGTTCGAACTCCCACATGATGCATCGACTCAAGGTTGAGGGACTGATTACCTCATTCTCCTCCTGTTCTTCAAGTTTCTCCTATGTATGGACTGATGAAGCCACTTGTGTGGCGAAACGTTTCTTCAATAAAGATACCCAATTGTTGCACATGTGTCTAATTTATCAACATTTCTTATGTAATAAGTGATGGACTAACATATATCTCCGTGTGTGGTGTGATGGGTGCCGTGGCTGGGGTGCGTCGTTGTAGCAACGTGGACGACGAGTGGTGCTCTAACGATGAACTGACTGACGAAGAGTACGAGATTGACGAGTCCTCCCTGGACGACGACCACCCTTCCTCCACCTCCGGTCCCAGGATCAAGAAACACGTCAATAAAGGTCGCTGGACCAAGGATGAGGACGAGGTACGTTTTGTGTTTAGTCTTCGGGGGGGGGGGTTAGTAGTAGGAGGTAGATTCATCAGGGGTTAGGTCAGATTCATCAGGGGTTAGGTAGATTCATCAGGGGGGTTAGGTAGATTCATCAGGGGTTAGGTTGATTCATCAGGGGTTAGGTTGATTCATCAGGGGGGTTAGGTTGATTCATCAGGGGTTAGGTCAGATTCATCAGGGGTTAGGTCAGATTCATCAGGGGTTAGGTAGATTTATCAGGGGGTTAGGTAGATTCATCAGGGGGGTTAGGTTGATTCATCAGGGGTTAGGTAGATTCATCAGGGGTTAGGTCAAATTCATCAGGGGGGTTAGGTTGATTTCATCAGGGGGGTTAGGTTGATTCATCAGGGGTTAGGTCAAATTCATCAGGGGTTAGGTCAAATTCATCAGGGGTTAGGTAGATTCATCAGGGGTTAGGTCAAATTCATCAGGGGTTAGGTAGATTCATCAGGGGTTAGGTAGATTCATCAGGGGTTAGGTCAAATTCATCAGGGGTTAGGTAGATTCATCAGGGGTTAGGTCAGATTCATCAGGGGTTAGGTCAGATTCATCAGGGGTTAGGTCAAATTCGTCAGGGGTTAGGTCAAATTCATCAGGGGTTAAGTCAGATTCATCAGGGGTTAGGTAGATTCATCAGGGGTTAGGTCAGATTCATCAGGGGTTAGGTCAGATTCATCAGGGGTTAGGTCAGATTCATCAGGGGTTAGGTCAGATTCATCAGGGGTTAGGTCAAATTCATCAGGGGTTAGGTCAAATTCGTCAGGGTTAGGTCAAATTCATCAGGGGTTAAGTCAGATTCATCAGGGGTTAGGTAGATTCATCAGGGGTTAGGTCAGATTCATCAGGGTTAGGTCAGATTCATCAGGGTTAGGTCAGATTCATCAGGGGTTAGGTCAAATTCATCAGGGGTTAGGTCAAATTCATCAGGGGTTAGGTCAAATTCATCAGGGGTTAAGTCAGATTCATCAGGGGTTAGGTAGATTCATCAGGGGTTAGGTCAAATTCATCAGGGGTTAGGTCAGATTCTTCAGGGGTTAAGCCAGATTCATCAGGGGTTAGGTAGATTCACCAAGGGCCAGTCAGAGTCACCCCGGGTACTTAACATCAGAAGCCACTTAAATTCAGTAGTGTCCGGAAAGAGTCACCCCGGGTACTTAAGGTCATAAAGGGGCCACCGGGAGCCATGTCAAGGTCACTCTACGGAAGAACAGTAGATTTCTTGAAGATGGGAACAAAACTGTGATCATGCAGGATGTGTTCTCTGAGTCAGGTTATGGTTAATGACCTTGAGGGTGACTGGCTTTTGATCCAAGGAACTTTGGCTTTCCTGCAGTAGTCAATTCATGTGCGTGCGCCTGTGGGGTGTACTCACCTATATGTAGTTGTATGGGTCGATTCACAGCTCCTGGCCCAGTGTGTGCGTGTGTGCGGGGGTGGGATTTGTGTGTGTGTAAACATTGATAAATGTTGAAGATTTAAGTTGGATGAGAGTGTGTTGTGATGTTAAACTAGCAGTATGTTAACACTAATAATGTTTTGTGTCTGACAGAAGTTGAAGGTGTTAGTGGAGCAGCACGGGGAGAAGTGGGAGGCTATCGCTGGCTGCTTCCTTGACCGTAACGACGTGCAGTGTCAGCAGCGCTGGCAGAAGGTCGTCAATCCCGAGCTGGTCAAAGGTCCCTGGACCAAGGAGGTCAGTGTCTGTGCTCTTGTTCTTGTGACCAGCTGCTCCCAGGCTGGTTACTTTCCCCTACCACACTGTGGTCACCTGCTCCAACCTTCCGTCCAACTACACTGGTCAGCAGGTCCCTGTATAGTGCTGTCCCCTTACCTACTACCTCAACACAACACCCTTGTATCACCTGGTACTAAATTACTACTACTACTACCTTCCCTACTTCACCACAGTGTGGTCAACTAGTTCTCCTCCCCCCACTACAGTACCCAGCTGGTTTCCTTGTAATGCTACCCTTACCTTCCTTCCCTACCCCAGCTGTTCAACAGCCTCCCATCAAGCATTAGGAGAATTGCCAATAAACCCCTGGCTTCCTTCAAGAGAGAGCTGGACAGATACCTAAAGTCAGTGCCGGATCAGCCGGGCTGTGGCTCGTACGTTGGACTGCGTGCGGCCAGCAGTAACAGCCTAGTTGATCAGGCCCTGATCCATCGGGAGGCCTGGTCATGGACCGGGCCGCGGGGGCGTTGATCCCCGGAATAACCTCCAGGTAACCCCATTACACTGATCAGCTGGTCCCAGGGTAGTACTGTCTTCCCTACCTCCCCTCACCCTCCACCTTGACCATGTAATGCTACTCCTACCTCCCTCCCCCTCCTCACCACACCCCGCTTTGTTGTTGTGGCCATTTGGTCACCATGTTACGCCCCCTTCCCTCCCCCGCCCCCTACTTCCCTCACCACCCTCTCCTTGTGGTACAACTTCACCCTGTGAAGATTTACCTAGGGTAGCTTCCGGGGGTCACCGACCCCGCCGCACTTCTAATGAAACAAGTGCTCACTTGACTCACGAAATTGTAATAACACAATTGTAAACAAACCACGGAACGGGTGGAGTTTGAACCCAAGTGCTGAACCCAAAAGGGTCATGCAATGCTTCAGGGTGGGATGTTCTGAAGAATATACGGAGGTTAGGCACGAGTGTGGGTAGTGGAAAAGGTAAAATAATATCAAAGTTATGCCTTCTGGTTGCTGGCCTGATCGATCAAGCTGTTACTGTCTGCCGCCAGCAATTCGACGTATGCACTAAAACCCAGCTGATCAGCAACCTGTCGAATTCCCCCTTGAAGACAGCTAAGGGAGGGGTGTGTCGGTAATCTCCCTTATGGATGAAAGGAGGATGTTTAAGAGTCGTGGTCCCTGAGCATTTATTGAGGATACCACTGCAAACCTTCAAGTCATGTAAAGTCTTGCAAATGACCACAGGTATGTAATAAATGAAGGTAAACAGAGGTAGACTGGTGGTAATGAAGTGAGCAAGCTGGAGGTATACCTGGAGGGTGTACCGGGTATCAACGGCCCCGTGTGCTGGAGGTACATCTGGAGGGTGTACCGGGTATCAACGGCCCCGTGTGCTGGAGGTATACCTGGAGGGTGTACCGGGTATCAACGGCCCCGTGTGCTGGAGGTACATCTGGAGGGTGTACCGGGTATCAACGGCCCCGTGTGCTGGAGGTACATCTGGAGGGTGTACCGGGTATCAACGGCCCCGTGTGCTGGAGGTATATCTGGAGGGTGTACCGGGTATCAACGGCCCCGCGTGCTGGAGGTATATCTGGAGGGTGTACCGGGTATCAACGGCCCCGCGTGCTGGAGGTATACCTGGAGGGTGTACCGGGTATCAACGGCCCCGCGTGCTGGAGGTATACCTGGAGGGTGTACCGGGTATCAACGGCCCCGCGTGCTGGAAGCATACCTGGAGGGTGTACCGGGTATCAACGGCCCCGCGTGGTGGAGGTATACCTGGAGGGTGTACCGGGTATCAACGGCCCCGCGTGCTGGAGGTATACCTGGAGGGTGTACCGGGTATCAACGGCCCCGCGTGCTGGAGGCATACCTGGAGGGTGTACCGGGTATCAACGGCCCCGCGTGCTGGAGGTATACCTGGAGGGTGTACCGGGGATCAACGCCCCCGCTGCCCGGTCCATGACCAGGAAATAGTGTTACAGATATTAAGCTCAAGGAATCACTCTCATACTGTTGGGGATGAGAGACAAGGCCAGAACTCCTACAGAGGAAACTAGACAGGTATCTTCAGGTGCCAGATCAACCAGGTTGTGTTGGATACGTGGGGCAGCGGGCCACCAGCAGCAACAGCCTTGGTTGACCAGGCAAACAACCAGACGAGCCTAGCCCATGGCCGGGCTCCGGGAGTATAAAATCTCTTGGAACTCACCAAAGGTATACAAATACCATCAACATTAACGGAGGCCCAGTAATACTTGACCTCACCTCTAGTTACTGTCACAGCTGGTATAAACCTCGGTATTAGATACCTACAAATAGGTTTAGAAAGACACGTGAGTTGCTCACGTGTCTTTTTTAAACCACTATCACATCAGGTGTACTTAAAATTAACCACTATCACATCAGGTGTACTTAAAATTAACCACTATCACATCAGGTGTACTTAAAATTAACCACTATCACATCAGGTGTACTTAAAATTAACCACTATCACATCAGGTGTACTTAAAATTAACCACTATCACATCAGGTGTACTTAAAATTAACCACTATCACATCAGGTGTACTTAAAATTAATGGGCTGGACAGAAGAAGTCTTCACAACAAGTGCCTGTCAAGCCAGTGATAACACACACTTAAGCGCTTGTTCATTTCACTGGAATATTCTTGGCTATCAGGCGAAATTCTGGATCTGAAAATACAAGAACTTGAACTGTGTGTGGAAATTAAAGCAATTACTGAGCTCTCAAGATCCATAAAATTGGCCCTTTCCTTCCTTTCCTACCTTGGTCAGTTAATGTGATAGTAACTCCAGGTCTGCTGGAGCGATACCTCCCAAGCTGCTGCAGGTATTGAACCCATAGTGCAGTGTTTGATCATATTCCACAGTGCAGTGTTTGATCATATCTCCCATCTGAGACTGACAGATTTCATCGCCTCGTAAAGGAAACCCCATCCAGTGTGATGAAATAATGTCAGGGGATGCAGTGTAACTATCATAGTGCAGAATAGCGTTCCACTGCTGATGTAGCCAGGTTTATTTAATACAATGCGTTAAGCGGCGCCTCCAGTGTGGTAACTCTAGGAGTACTGGAAACTTGTTTATCATTGAGTGTAAATACGCCAGCCGGGGTGCTGCGTGTTTTCCACCTTTAGAGAGCAGAATTAAAAAAATGTACAAAGAACCTTCCATAGTTCGTATAAACTCGGTCAGGAACCTAAATTACTGAGAGCGCCTGAACTCTCACGAACTTGATTCCATAGAACGTAGGCGAGATGCTTGATAATCTACACCTGGAAGATACTGGAGGGACTGGTCCCAAACCTACACTCCGAAATCACTGCATATGAACACACGAAGATTGGCACACCACAAGCCACTTATGAAGAGCAATGAAGCGATGGGTAAACTGAGAGAACTCAGCAAGTGTAAAGGGATCATGACTCGATAACCTCCCTACATGCATAAGGACGGTTTCCAACAGCTCCCAGACTGTCTTCAAGAGGAAATTCGACAGGTTCCTCAAATCAACCGGCTTGATGATGGCTCCCGGTTGCTGGCCTTGATCAGGTTAGCAACCAGGAGGCCTGGTCTGGGACCAGGCAGAGGGGAGACGATAACCTTTGGAATCGCCTACAAGTAAGTGCCAAGTCAACCAGGCTGTGATGGATAGGTCAGCACAGGTTCACAATGGGAAGGTCAGCATGTGCAGGCCCACACCATGGGAAGGTCAGCATGTGCAGGCCCACACCATGGGAAGGTCAGCATGTGCAGGCCCACACCATGGGAAGGTCAGCATGTGCAGGGCCCCCACCATGGGAAGGTCAGCAATGTGCAGGCCCCACACCATGGGATGGCCAGCATGTGCAGGCCCACACCATGGGAAGGTCAGCATGTGCAGGCCCACACCATGGGAAGGTCAGCATGTGCAGGCCCACACCATGGGAAGGCCAGCATGTGCAGGCCCACACCATGGGAAGGTCAGCATGTGCAGGCCCACACCATGGGAAGCCAGCATTGCAGGCCCACACCATGGGAAGGCCAGCATGTGCAGGCCCACACCATGGAAGGTCCAGCATGTGCAGGCCCACACCATGGAAGGCCAGCATGTGCAGGCCCACACCATGGAAGGTCAGCATGTGCAGGCCCACACCATGGAAGGTCAGCATGTGCAGCCCACACCATGGAAGGTCAGCATGTGCAGCCCACACCATGGGAAGGTCAGCATGTGCAGGCCCACAACCATGGAAGGTCAGCATGTGCAGCCCACACCATGGAAGGTCAGCATGTGCAGGCCCACACCATGGAAGGTCAGCATGTGCAGGCCCCACCACATGGGAAAGGCCCAGCATGTGCAGGCCCACACCATGGGAAGGTCAGCATGTGCAGGCCCACACCATGGAAGGTCAGCATGTGCAGGCCCACACCATGGGAAGGTCAGCATGTGCAGGCCCACACCATGGGAAGGTCAGCATGTGCAGGCCCCACACCATGGAAGGCCAGCATGTGCAGGCCCACACCATGGGAAGGTCAGCATGTGCAGCCCACACCATGGGAAGGCCAGCATGTGCAGGCCCACACCATGGAAGGTCAGCATGTGCAGCCCACACCATGGGAAGGTCAGCATGTGCAGGCCCACACCATGGGAAGTCAGCATGTTGCAGGCCCACACCATGGGAAGGTCAGCATGTGCAGGCCCACACCATGGAAGGCCAGCATGTGCAGCCCACACACCATGGGAAGGTCAGCATGTGCAGGCCCACACCATGGGAAGGCCAGCATGTGCATGCCCACACCATGGGAAGGTCAGCATGTGCAGGCCCACACCATGGTGAAGGTCAGCATGTGCAGGCCCACACCATGGGAAGGCCAGCATGTGCAGGCCCACACCATGGGAAGGTCAGCATGTGCAGGCCCACACCATGGGAAGGCCAGCATGTGCAGGCCCACACCATGGGAAGGCCAGCATGTGCAGGCCCACACCATGGGAAGGTCAGCATGTGCAGGCCCACACCATGGGAAGGCCAGCATGTGCAGGCCCACACCATGGGAAGGTCAGCATGTGCAGGCCCACACCATGGGAAGGTCAGCATGTGCAGGCCCACACCATGGGAAGGTCAGCATGTGCAGGCCCACAACCATGGGAAGTCAGCATGTGCAGGCCCACACCATGGGAAGGTCAGCATGTGCAAGGCCCACACCATGGGAAGGCCAGCATGTGCAGGCCCACACCATGGGAAGGTCAGCATGTGCAGGCCCACACCATGGGAAGGTCAGCATGTGCAGGCCCACACAATACCGTGCAGGTGGGTGCGAGAGAGCAGCAGCAGCAGCAGTAGGACAGCTGTGGAATAATTGCTTTTCTCTACGTTCATCCCCGTCCCCACACTTCTATCCACCCATCCAGTAATTGGCAATTGTCGAGCCGGCTGGGAGGATGTTCACTCTCTCTAGGGAGGTCCCCTGGCGCTGCTGAGGGGGCTCTTCATCCAAGGAATTGGATTATCCTTTCATTGGATCGAACCTGATTGCTTCATATTCATTCTCCTGCGAGACACAAATCTCGCATTTTTCGTTCACCTGTATGGAGTTCGTCCCTGTAGGATTGTCAATAATTAATTCTCCTGTTTGTAGATTTTCCCTGTAGGATTATCCCATGTTTTATTCTCCTGTATGGAAATCTTCCCTGTAGGATTGCCATTCTTTTAGGATATCACAACTAATAAAAAAATCGTGACTTGATTTGCTAATCTGTTGGTGCTGTAACTCACATCTAGAAGGAAGGATTGTTGGTGCTGTAACTCACATCTAGAAGGAAGGATTGTTGGTGCTGTAACTCACATCTAGAAGGAAGGATTGTTGGTGCTGTAACTCACATCTAGAAGGAAGGATTGTTGGTGCTGTAACTCACATCTAGAAGGAAGGATTGTTGGTGCTGTAACTCACATCTAGAAGGAAGGATTCTTGGTGCTGTAACTCGCATCTAGAAGGAAGGATTGTTGGTGCTGTAACTCACATCTAGAAGGAAGGATTCTTGGTGTAACTCATCTAGAAGGATTGTGCTATATCAAGGCTATATGATGCTATATGATGCTATATGATGCTATGAGGCTATATATGCTATATGATGTTCAATGAGGACAAATTCCAACTACTCCGTTATGGAAAACTGGAGGAGATAATAACTAGAACAGAGTATACTACTGACTCCGGCCATACAATAGAGCGGAAAAATAATGTAAGGGACCTGGGAGTAGTAATGTCTGAGGATCTCACTTTC